GTTGGCGTTTCCAAATTGCGAACCATCGTAAATAAGCATGCTTATCTCGTCAAGTGTCGTCGCCAAATTCGCTTCGTATTTCTGCGCGAATTATAGCATCGTCAGACCGAGTTTGTCCGTTTGTTAAGACGGGCATAACGGCGCGGAACAGCGCGCGGTCGTATCGCGGAGAACGGCTACCCGGCTACACGGACGGTTCCATTGCGGGAACTTTGCGCGCCGCTAAATAGGGCGGATTAAGATATCGACGAGAGAGAGAGAGAGAGAGAGAGAACGATATTTATAGGGACGTATTTATACATCGTTTAATATCGCCTGTTGATCTCTCTCTTTCTTCCCATTTGTTGGCGCGTCACTTCGCTTCCGCGAACGTCGCGAGAGACGCGCACAGCTGAGGAAAGAGTGGAAAGGGGGAGGCGGAGAGGGGAGGAAACGCACGAGCGGAATTTCCTCCCGCGGCCGAGAGCAAATACGTTTCCCCGGGCGTCGTACGGACGAGAGATTAAGTTGTTGGACGAAAGTTGAGAGCTTTATAGAACTCGTAAGACTCATCAATTTCCCCGGTATTTCCGATCGGTCAATCCTGCAGAGACAGCAACATCATTGCGCGCAATCCCATTGACGGTGAAGAATGAAAACTCCGTTTAACAATATCGCTTATTCAGGCGCGCGCGCGCGCTTCGGCACCGGCGCGGACTTTCTTCGCCCGTGGCGAGATGATCGATTGCATTCGCCCTCTCTCGCGCACAGGTCCCGCAGTCGAAACTGCACCCGTGCCCGCCGATCAATATACGAAGAAAGCCGCTCTCTCGCGCGCTCTCGGACGCGCTTTCGCGCGTCCCGCGCGACTTCTCGCGCGCGAGCGAAGGAATAACGTCGCGGCGGCACCCGAGTCCATTTTTATCATAGATTATTTCTGGAAAATATTAAAGATAAAAATCAGAAATTAGCGAACAGCTAACTTCAACGGACACGTACGAAAAGTGTCAACTTGAATTGCGAATATCTTAGCTTCCTGTTGGTCAATCGTTTTCTTTTTCTCTTTCTTTCCAATCGCACGAATAGTTAGATAATATTTCAATGTATATGCAAGCTTCTATCATTAAATTCTTGTCAGGCTCATTTTATATTTTGACCTTACAACACTTTCACCGCGTAGGACACACGCGTCGCCGAAAAACAGCTTCTCGATTGTGTACGCTACGTATACACGACGTGAAAAATCGTTTGTCATTTGTAGACGCTGTATATGTACAGCGTCTCGTTTGAATTTTTCGATGAGAATGTATTCCCATCATTATATTACTTCACCCCGGTGTCACAATCGAATATCGTGTTTCACAAAACGAGCACTTTTGGGCGAAGCGTGCCGCAGCGAAAGGATTACGGATAGTTTGAGTCCACTCAAACGGCCTTTAGACATAGACCTACTTTGGTACTTGTTAACTTCTCTCCTGAACTTTTGAGGAGACCGCCAAAGATGAACATTTTATCGGTAGAAAACTGACATTTTTTTTCTGCGAAATACACGTCGCACAGAATCATAAACGTCTTCGCAAAGCAAGTACACATATCAGAAAAGTGGAACATCGCTTCATATATCTAAGGTAATAAAATATTTCAAAGCCCATATCTCTAGCTGTCGTTCAACATTTATTTGATACAGAAATCCCGAAACTTACGTGCATACCGAATGTATCAATGCTCCAACCAAGAAAATTTCAAGAAACCTTATTATACCTTTTCAATTCAGAGACCTAAAAAGGTCTCGAAAAGTTCGCAGGAATACTTTAATACACCTTACTTAAATTTTCCGCTAAATATGGTAAAATAGAATAGCACGCATTCATTGCATTCATATTTATATTGCGCTTATATTTAAGTAAGACTGTACGTACATCAAGAGTAACATGATCTTATCAGTATTAAGCAATATAACATTTGAAAGATCATCTCTGCATTATTGATATGCTTTTCAAGTCTGTCATCGACTTTGAATCCTTTTAATTCCATAGATTTTAATGCTACTTTGAACAACCGTACAGAATGCGCCATTAGAATAGACATAAAAACGTTTTATCGTAACGTTTCAACGTTTTTTTTTTTTTTTTATGAACGTCTTACCCACGTATCTAGTCTACCTAAGCGCCGAGTGTCATCTACAGACGAATTCTGATATAGCGTCAATTTCAAATTCAATTCTGTCCGGATTCTAACGACGCGCCCTATATGTTGATGCTAAACACCGAAATCGATATTTAAGGCATCGTCAAAATCCACGTACGAGTAATTTATATTATCAAAATTGATACCGAACCTATTTTGTTGTCTCAGCTCGTACTAAACGGTAGAATTAAAGGATTAATAGCCGAAATTTCAATTGGAGTATCCATCCCGAGTCAAAATTTTGATGCCGGATAAAAACCTACTCTGACGATACTTATCAAATTCTCTCTTAAACCCTTATAATTATACGGATTCAATTTTAATGCCGCCTCGGACAGGATATCGAAAGTGAAGATTTGAGACATTCTGTTTTACATTTCTTTCGGCGGAAATGAAAATTTCAGACATCGTCAGAGTTGGAAAGTAAACTGTATTATTAGAATTGAGATTGCGTGCCTGTTTTGCTATCTTAGCTCCCACTGTTGTAGAATTCGAGATTTCGGACGAAAAATTCAATCGGAGCGACGCGTTCGAGCTCGCATCCGCCGTGCGCGCTCTGCTGCGTCGCCGAGCGCGCCGGAAGAGAGCCCGGATCGCGCCTCGGCCTTGCCACGTGAAGGTTACAACATTTCCCGTGTGCGACTACGCACGCACGCGGAGAAGCGCGTTTCGGCGCGGAAGAGCGCCGACAACGCGTTCGTACTCATCCGTTCGTTCTCATTCACGCCCTCGGCGCGTACAAGCCGCTCCGGGCCGCGCGCCGGCAAAGTTCCTGCGCGTAATTCGTTCGCCGAAGCAAACGCGTAATTTCGTTCGCGAACTCGCCGACGGTTTCACCTCGTTATATACGAAAACTTTCCGCGGTCCCGTATGAAAAAGGATATAGGAGGTGTACGGAGCGAGCAACAGCTGCAACGGCCCGCTCGCCGCAATAATTCTCATTCCGCGCGATTATTCGTGAATTGTTTACCCTACACACACACACACACATATATATATATATATAGCATGACCATGCCGCACGAGTCCGAGGCGATAGCGACAGAAGAGTTTCTTGCATCGGTGGCGGCAGCGGCGGCAATGGCGGCTGGTCCTATTTGTTACCATTTGGCTCGTAACGCTCTGACAAGGCATAAATTTTCCTTTCATCCGATACGCCGGCCCGTGGGTTAGGTCGCTCGTTCATGGCGCGTGCGGGGCCGTGCGTGCGTGCGTGGGTGCGTGACTAGCCGCACGCATCGCATATATCTCGGGCGCCGAGCGAGGAAAGATACCTGGGAGCGCGTGTGGTCGCGGTATACAACAAATTGCCAATCTCGACCGCGGTAACCAACTGCCAAGGCCCCACCCCGAGTCGTATCAACATTCCGCCGCGCAACATTCCGTTATTTCAGACGCGGACTTGACGCGCACCCTTTCCAGCGATTTCACTCACCGCGGGTAGGCGGCGCAAGCCCGACACGCGAAGATGAGTTGCATCGGGTAGAATCTCGCGAAATGGGACTTTAAAGGAGTCCGGACGGTACGGTCGCGTGCACCGAGTCGAGATTTGAATGCTGCTTCTTTAGACGCTTTTAACCCTCCCTCCTCCTGAGAGCCTACCAATGACGTCTCCGACCCGTCACGTGTTTCTTATGCTAGAACATGCAGTGACGAGTGCCGTGTGACTTCGAATTTTGTTGTACAATGACGTGTCCTTCAGTCTTATTGAAATGTATGAATCACAAAGTGAGATATGCAATTGTTTTCTAGCCACTGGGTATGCAGAGACGGAATTGTGTAAATAGATGCGCATAGGAAATTACTTTTAATTGAATCGTATGTTAAGAGGTTAGAGATAGCTTGCGCCTATACTGAGGAAGAAACTGTCAGTGTTTGTCATTATGATCGCATAGGTAAAAAGAAATGATATATTATTATATTGTATGTAGTCAGGAGAATCATTTTTCTGGGCAAATGTTACTACAACTTCAGTAATGATAACCTTATATCGCTACTGCTATATTTTTAGTTAGAACTAGAAGGAGATATAGTCGAGGCCAAAGGTAAATATAATTTTAATGGGATTTCTTTCAGTATACTCAAACAGTCTATAGACTGATAAAATTTTTATTTCGACGATATCGATACTTATCAGCTTCTCTCTTAAATCTTGAATTCTACAGATTCCATTTTAAGACCACCTTGAACAACCTGTTTTGGCGCTGAAAAAGCGAAAATGGCCATTTAAGATATCATCAAAGAAGGAAAATATTGCACCGTTAACATTGAAATCGAACCTATCTTTGCTATCTTAGTTCCTACTGCGTTATACAATTATTTAAAAAAATGTAACATGGGGCCGAAAATTTCTATCGGTGAAAAGAACGAGGTATCTCCTTCTCTTCGTTCCTACGTCGATTAACGATTAATATCGAATCCGGAGGGTTGAATCGCTGGTTTTAATTAAATGCTTCACAGCCCGACGCGGATTTAATCGACCGTGTTGTTTCCCGATGTTTTTTTTCTCGCGAGGCGAGCATCTCACGGACGCTTTCCACCGATCAATTCTATTGTATAGATATATTTGCACAATCTTTACACATTATTATCGTACATGTTATTCATTCGATATATACGCATATACATACATACATACATACATATATATATATATGTGTGTGTGTGTGTGTGTGTGTGTATGTGTGTGTGTGTGTGTGTGTGTATACACGTGATATCCCGGAAGAAATACAAACAATCGTATCGTCTATTACCTCCATGTTTGATTAATCAATATTATATTAATTAATATATTCGCAGAACGCGCGTATGAATCGGTACACATTCACGTACATTCAGCCGAGCACATTTCCGTACAAATTCTTCCAGAACTCGAGCCTGTTCTTCAGCAGACCCTGCTCCATCTTTAAACCCTGGCCAATATTCATATAGTTATCATTTTCGCCCCGAGGCTCCCACTTTACGTTCACGTAATCGTCCAAGTTCGACGTGGGATTCCTGAAATGATTGCAATCGGAGCTTACCCAACTGACATTTCTCACGCGACACGTTGACACCGTCCCACTCGTACATTGAACCAGGTGCGATATAACAATCAGGACGCATACCCGTCTTTCGCGAAATTCGTCAACAACGTGGTGAAAACGCGCGTCATCTCCTCCGCGGGCGAGCCGCTCTGCGGCAGATTCTTCAGCGCGTTCGAGTAAAATTCATAGGTCATCTCGTCACCGTGGGCGACACCTGTAGTTCGAATAGGGCGATAGTTGCACGGGGGTAAACGCATGGGGTAAATAAAACACGTGGTCTATCCACTTATATAAACTCCCCCGCCGAGGGAGTCTCTTCTTTCGCGGCGCGAAAAGCCCTCCTCCGCTCGCGTCGCGCGCGATACGACGACGGGGCGGAAAGGGGGGGGGGGGAATGGGAAGAGAAGGGAGCCGCAAGCTTCTCCGAGACACGCGGCGCGTAACTCACCGTCTTCCACGTGGAACAGACTTTTCATCAAGCCGAACGGAGCCTCGTAAGAGAATATATATTCGTAAACCGGCGCCGAGATTCGGGAGCTTAATATCTCTAAACTGAGCGCAGCCGCGGCGTCAAACATGACGTCGTCCAACATCTAAAATGCACAAACAAGTTTTAATATGAACGTCATTAACTTTGCGCCGCTCAACTCGCCTCCAAGTTTCAACGGTGATGCGGGACGACGGTTAAACGGTTAAGTGCTCACCGTCATGAACTCTTTCGTGGTATCCGTGGAGATCGACTTATCGCCGAAGTAGAAGCTCTTCAAGCTCTCGCCTAGTTGGTTCCTCTGCCCGGCGTCGGTTACGTTCAAGTCATCCGGCAGGAAGTTCTCGAAGTGCTCATTCATCTGATCGATATTGCCGAGCATCACTGAAAAACAAACGACGTCGCGATATCTACGTAACGCTCTCGTGCGCGCCTAACCGGCGCGTAACAACGTCGACGTGCGTGTTCGACGATTACTCTGTACGAAGAAGGCGGTCTCGTCGGCGGTGATCCCGGCCATGACAGGCACGTCGGCGATCTTGCCGGTCTTGAGGAGCGTCCACGGATCGGCGGGCAGGAATATCTCTTGCCCTAGGTCAGCCTCGACCGACGGCAGGAACGCCGAGAAGCGGCCGTTCATCGTGTTCTGCAAATTGCACGAGTGACGTGACGGTCGGCGCGTTTGTATTTATCAGCGTGATATTCGCGTGAAATGACTGTGTGCTTTCTTGCATCGTCAAGTCCGACGAATGCGACGTCGCCTCTCACGATAACGAGCATCTAAGCCCAAATAATCCTACATCGAGCGGCGTCACTCGTTCATTGAACGCCAGCGGAAAACACGACGCCGGGGCGCGACCGTCCATTGGTCTTATTCACCTCGCTCGTCGTTACACGGAGATAAATTATTCAGAGAGGCGGCGAATTTGTTGCGGTAAATAAATAAATATACCGCTCTGAAAATTGATCCGGTTCAGTCTACCTGACGATGGACAACGAAACGCGTTTTGAAAGGAACCAAATTGCTCGTTCCCGTGAACCAAATTTCATTCTCATAATCTGACATTCCATTTCCCTCAACCAAAACGCATTTAGCTGTACATTATCAGATAGATTCAACTAGATTCATTTTTCAGTGGGATTTTCTCATAGAAATTACGAAGTGAAATAAATTCGATGAGAATTCAAATGAAATTTGCGCTACGTATATTAATATATTATCTAATTGCTCGCGCGATTACAGTGAGAAAAATATACTTGAAAATTTATTCGTGCGATATAAGATTTATTTCACAGAATAAACTTTCTTTCAGCGGAGAGTCTGTGAGATTCTGAGCCCTCTAATTATTATAGTATTTACAATGTTCGTTTCATTTTGAAAAGGCAGATCCTCCTCTGATCTTGCCTCAGATGGCCGGATTCTCTTCCTTCACATCACCAGATATTTCATATTTTATATTGAGAAGTGTCGGGACAAATTTTAAAATATCTCAGAAAAATCTTAACCGAAAGAATCTTTATTATGAGTTCTCTGAAAACGTCTCAACAAAAGCTAGAAGAATATGCAATAAAAAAGTAGGGAATCACGTTTGAAAAATTCAACTTGATCACGTTTAAAAAATTCAACTTGTCCTGACTTTGGCGACGCAGTCCTAGGTCAAACTGATAAATAAGATCATTAAATAGATCTGTTTAAACCCCATAACTTTTATTCGAAACACGTTTCTGTAAAACTGATATTTCTCGATATTTTTCAGAATTTCCCTGATTTTCCCTCACCCTGTATACATATATTAGCCTCAATTTCTTTTGAAATTTAACATTTATCATTTAGAGATGGTAAAATAATTGTAGAAACGTAATTTTCCTCGGTGAATATTATTTATGAGTGGCCCGTTTGATATGCCGCTGAAAATACAACACTAAGCCTTGCGACTCCCTTAAGTACCGTCCGAAGTTTCGAGAGTTGATTTTTGAGGTCACTTTCCGAGGAAATGAGCATACGTTCATTTGAATACTTTCTTCAACGAAACAACCTCAACAAAAATCGACTCCTAAAATACTGAACAGTACTCAAGAAGCGTATTGTAAATTTATTTAATCTACGATGGCGTGACAAATTCGCCGTCCCTCTGAATGATTTTTCCCCGTGACACGCACCTCGGTGTTCATTAAGTCCTCGCTGGCCGCGACCAGCTCTTTCGGGGTGAATTCGGCGAGCTTGGCGACCAGTTCGCCGGAGTCGGTGGTCTCGATGTCGAGCTGCTCTCCTAATTTGAAAGCGAGCTCCCGGGGATTGTAAGATATCGCCCACGTGTTCATCGCGCTGCCGCTCTGCTGGATAGCGCCGTTGAACAAGCCTGTGACGCAATCAGTTCGCGTTACATTGTGCAGGGCGATACGACGGGATCACCCGGTGGTCCCGATCGGCCGATATGCGCCTCTCTCACCGTCCGACATCGGGGACATCATGTGCAGCTGAACGGAACTCGCGCCCGCGTCTTCGCCGAAGATCGTCACCCGATTGGGGCAGCCGCCGAAATAATGTATGTTGTCCTTGACCCATTTCAACGCCATCACTTGGTCCTTCAGGCCGGCGTTGCCGGGCGCGCTCTTGTCTCCGGTGTTCAAGAATCCTGGAAATCGACGAGCGGCATGTTAATTCGCAGACCGCTCACGAGGATCCGAGAATTCAGACGAGCGCTCGTCGTCGTCGAGGCGACGCTCTCTACTTGCCGATAGCACCGAGTCTATAATTGAGTGTTACTACGACGACGTCGTGCTCGATCAAGAAGTCCGGCCCGAAGAATAAGTCGTCCCCGAAGCCGGTATTGAAGCCGCCACCGTGGAACCAAACCATCACAGCCTTGCGGGCTTCCTTGTCCAATATCGGGGTGTAAACGTTGAGGTAGAGGCAGTCCTCTTCGCCGATCATGTCTTGCTGTATCATGCAGAAGAAGGGACAAGCGGAGCGATGGTAGGTCGCGTCGTACGTCCCTTCCCAGGGTTCGGCCGGCTCGGGCATCTTGAATATCGGAATTACGGGCTCGAAATCTTGCTTTCTTGCGATCATTTCCGATCATAATTTCCTTATCTCTCTCTCTCTCTCTTCTCTCCCTCGGAGTCGTTTTGTTTTAGCATACGAAAACGGAGACGAGTACATATAATTGGCAATGTACATACCTGGAATTTATTGACACCGACATTAGGTTTCGCGTAGGGTATCCCTTTGAAACTATAATACGGCTTGTTCTGCAAAACGCTATTGGCCTTCAGACCCTTTAGAAATCCCTGCGGGATTTCCAATTGGACGTCTTGCTGGGCTTCGGCCCATGCTATGACTATAAACGCACAAAACGCGAGTCTGTTGAACCACATTTTAACTCTGCAACAAGACCGCCTCGTTGTGCGGCCTTTTATAGCTTCGACGATACGTTGACGATCAAAAGAATGGGTTATTGCGGACTATATTTACGCAATCGCTATTCTCGGCGGGCATAATAGCGCGAACGGGTTACCCGGTAATTTACGAGATATCTCCATAATCTCGCGTGTCAACTACAGTCGGCAACATCGGGTTTTCAGGCAGAATTGTCAGGTCGGATTTCCTCAGTTTATCTTCAGCCTCGATATACATAATCCCCATTAGAGGTTCGTAATACGCTTCCTGAAACTTATTATTGTAATCCGCGGTAACGGTACTCCGTGCAAATCGCGTCGCTTTTCAGGAACCGCGGATAAGAGAAGCCAAATCGCACGCATTTCGAAATTTCAACCGTAAAAATCGGCTCACGCATCCGTCGTTTATCCGCAGGTAAACGTGATTCCAAAACGACCGCTGGTCGTGTACCGTTAACTCGGGAAATCTAACAGTAGCAGTACGCATGTAAAGTCACTATTATTGACATTGCAGTAATATTACTGGAGAAATAATTCTCCCCGACTATAATTCTATCATTTGTAAGATTATATTTACAAAAGCGAACATTTTTCTTCTCAGTGCGCTGTGTGAATTCCATACACGTTGCTGGTATCCGTATGGAAGACTTTGCGCAATTTCCACGAGTCATCGCGAATAATGCGTTGATCTGTGGTAATCATCATGCACGTAACGTCTATTCTTATAAACCGGGCAAATCGAAATTTTCCATTCGATAACACGTTCGCATCTGTGCACCGGCAGAAGCAGGAAGATATTCTGGAACGATCGCGGTTCCCGCGGTAAACAAAAGTTAATAACACGTCGCGTCGCATTGTTGATGCCTGGGCACGTTAGAAATATGGAAAATATCGCGACGTCGTTGCCGCGGCGAAAAATTCCAAGCAGAATTTTAAGGCGGGAGGACGCGTGAAGTGCAGCACTCGGAATGAATACATTTCTGTAACTTACTTTCACATTCTCTCTTTTCCACTTGCGTGCGCGCGCGCGCGCGCGCGCAGCACGGATAGAAAAGCAGATGTAAAGGGAAGAAATGAGGCGAGCACAGCTGCGCGAATTAACTAAAACGGATTTGAATAGCCATACCATTGGAGTCGTGTATTTGATGCGAAATTTACGAGTTAAACGGTAATTAAGATCGCGTTGCGAGAAAAGTGCTCGGAATTGTTCGATACTCACGTCACGACGGAGCGAGCGGCATTGATATGCGGATTTTGGACGTGCGGATAATTCAAATTCAAGGCGACCGATTTGACCACTGTTTTCCGTGAGTGCACGACTGAGCGCACTGAATTATAAGATGCAACCCTCTTTCTCGGACTGCTCTTACAATAGTTGATTCGTGAAATTATTTTTTCAGAAATCCTTCCAAGTTTTAACAGCATATATTAGTTGAAAATCGACCTACGCACATAGTAAAATTAGAAGAAGGTTGGTCGTGCCGGAGCTGGGATAATTGAAGTCAAAATTAGAACTTGAGAATGTAAAGGCACGTGTTCTGCGTGAAATCATCGCTTTTCTAACAGTAATTGTGGTTCGGAGGAAGAAAGAAATTTTGAAACAGATTCTATATTTCTCTTGAATTTTAGTTTGCAATCAACTAACTGTTCGACAAGTTGCAACCGAAATTGTGTCCCAATAACAGGAAAATAATTACATATTTATGTTATTCGTGTGTACAAGTCTTACGAACGATAACGATACCGGATATATTACGCGGACCAATTATGAAATACGCAAAAACATAGAAAAATTATGAAGAAATAGATAGACGCTTATTTCTTCGGAGTTTTTTTCTTACATACTACGGAACGCTGTGCAGGAAAGGGTTAAAACAGCGCGGTAGAATATCCCTCGCACTTTGGAACGGAAATTCAGTAACGCGGCCACTTGTAATTCTTAATGTTTTAATTGGAAACAACACATCGCACGTCTCGCGATAAATCAAGCTGCGCGAGCAGCGGGGCGTCGACGGGCGGCGAAATGAAAAATGGAGAAAAAAAAAAAGGAAAGGAGAAGATATATGAAATCGAGGTAAATCTGGCGCGCGTGATTTTCCACTTTAACGAACGATCCGACGGTTTCTGACAATCTGTTCGCCGCGCCGGGGAGAAGGAAGATACGTTCCGTGAGCAATTGCAGCCGTCCACCCGGCGTTCCCTCGAGTGAACTTCAGTCTGTTTCGAGCGCGCCATCGAATTTTTCAAACTTCAACGTGATTTTCCATGAGGTGAGAGAGAGAGAGAGAGAGCGTCGTCTGTGTCGACGGGTCTCTCGGAGGCGGCGTTGCCCGCGCGAAGTAAACGACATCGCACTCTCGAACTCGTGCAGAGCACATCGATGGGTACACGCACGATCCGTGTCGCAGCCAGCCGCCATTCCTTCGGCAATTTTTTCATACAGTCGCCGCGCTCGTTTTGCTAAATAAACCGTTCTGTAAACCCGGTAAATCGGGTTCATATCGACGAATTCGCGGAAAGGGAAATAAATTAGTTTGCATATTCAAACGAAGAGAGAGAGAGAGAGAGAGAGAGAGAGAGAGAGAGAGAGAGCGGATCCATACCCGGTGAAAAGGGGGACAAGCCCGGTCGATAAGCTGTTTTATACAACGGCAAGGAGGAACAAGTGCGCTCCCAACTTTTTTCCTAAATAGAATATCCGCTTACAACAAGCTGCTTTCAACGGTTGCCGCTGGGGAAAAGACAAAAGGGTAGACATGGGACACTTGCGAAATATGACCACTTTGTCCACGCCCAGCATCGACGGCTCATCCCTCTGCCCTCCCCTCCCTCTCACCTCGCTCGCTTCTACGCGTTTTCTACCTGAGAAAATTATGGCCCAGTTTCGCGTTACAAAAGCGGCTCTCAAGTCGAATTTTAAACAACATGCTAATTTTCCCGGGAACAAGCGATGCGTGAAAGCTGCAATTTGAGGCGGCCATTAATGTTAATGCCCCCCCCCTCCCCCCCAGTCCTGTTAACCCGCCAACTCGCAATCTGCAAATGTAACGGCGACTCGGAGAGCACCTATACTCCGTTTGTTTTTCGTCTCTGCGTAATATGATGAAAGTTGCGTAACAATAGCGGAAAGCCCGCCTTTCCTTATCAACTTGGATTGCGCTTTCGGAGTGCGGAGTGCATTATTCGTTTCTCGATAAATCACGCGCGCGCGCGCGCGCGCGATGCCACACGAACGTCGAAAGGGAAATCTTGTCGCGATTTATCGCGACTTCATTCGGCATTCCACGCGCGGCTGGTAATTAAAGCTACGCTCCGCTTCGCGTGTACCGCTGATGGTGGGTGGTAGTGGTGGTGGACAAACGCAATGAAATATTTCGTCGCGAGTACGGAAGGTCAAGTGTTACCGATCGCGCGGTCGCGGTCGCGCGCGCGTTTCACGGAACGTATCGCGTGTATCGTTACGGCAATAAAAAAAAAAGAGTAGAGTAGAGAGAGAGAGAGAGAGAGAAAGGGAGCCAAACAAATTTATGAACGGGAAACGGCCGGCAGTCGCGAGCCTTTTGACCGGGCGCGGCGGCCACGCTCGCTCGAATTACAGGCCATTGACACCGGAAAAATTTCGGATAATACGAAAACAACGGGCGACCGAGCGCCGAAACGGCGCCACCGAACGATGGCGCGAAATGAAAAAGGTGGGCGAATATTTTTTCCTTGCTCTCTCTCTCTCTCTCTCTCTCTCTTTCTCCCTCTCTTTCCATCCGCGCGCTCTCTGCCACCGCGGGACGCACTCGCGCGCGCACACCATCGTCATCAGCGATTCTCCCCCGTTCCAGAGGATGCGAACGAACGCGACGGACGGAGCACGCGCGAATTTGACACATTTCCGTCGCGCGAAAAGCGTGCCGCGCGCACGGGAGCATATTTTCAACGTTTTTTTCCTACCACGGCCCCGAATCAACGGCCTGCCGTCACTCAGCGCGCCGCCGCCTCCACCCTCTCCAGCTTTTCACTTCGTTTTAACAGCTCGTTCTTTTGCGGCTGTTCGCCGCTCATTCTCTCTCTCTCTCTCTCTCTCTCTTTCTTTTGCATTGTGTCCTCGCGTCCTCTTTCTCTGCCGACCATCCTGCGTACTTCCCTTACTCACCTTCTCTCTCGCACTTATTACTTCTCATCCGTCCCAACTCCTCCCCCTCCCATCCATTTGTCCTTTCTGGTCACCTCATCCCTCACTCCCTCTCACGCTCGCTTCCTCGCACACTGTCACCCTCCCTCCCTCCCCCATTCTGTATATTTCGTTCGCTGCAAACAATGCTGCGGCCGGCCTCATGCCTCTACGCGCTATATATATATATATATATTTCTTTTATCGCTGAATAAATTTAATTTAAATTTTCCTGCCGTTCGGAACGTTTATTAAGTAAATATATCACGCGGAGTGTGGAGGCGGCGCGGTGTACACACTGATATTTTCCGCAGGACTTCCAGCACCGAAGCCGCGGGCACGTATTGCATCCCCCGCCGTGGCGGGGCGTACGCGTGCACGTGTTCATGATGCACGCACGGAATAACCGGCGAAACGCGACTCCGTGTTTACGGGATTAATTTATTAAGTTCTGCGCGAGCGCGAACGAGCGCGCGAGCCCTTTTACCCCGGCCGTCCGCCCATCGCGTTTCCCCGGCACGGAGAATTGCGTGGTATGCGAATTGGAAAATGTAGTTTCATTGCGCGGAAATGATATTAAAGCGGGGACTGTTTGCGACGAAATGCAATGAGCGTGCGACATGCGATTTTAAGGATCACAAAC